CCATTTCTTTTAGTTGTGGAAGCTCTTGTGACTGCTTATCCCTATGTTTATTTACTGTTCTTTTTTTTAAATCCGTGCCTCTATGATGTTTCCTCATCTCCTAACATTTCTATTTATTCATTTTAGAAGCTAGACGTCTGCAGAAAGTGCTAGCTAATCAGTTAAGAATTATTCTTTATCCCTTTAGTATTTGTGTTAAATGTAAATGTAATCCTAGGCATTTTATATTTTAATTTGGGGGCTTATTTTGGAGATTTATTATTATTTTGTCAGTAATTATATTTGGAACTTTTTCATTCTTAAATCGGATTTTATTTTTATTATTTATATATTCTTTTGAGACAAGGTTACTTGGTGCCCAGACTGGAGTGCAGTGGTGTGATCTCGGCTCACTGCAACCTCCACCTCCGCCTCCTGGCTCAAGCGATCCTCCTGGCTTAGTCTCCCAAGTTAGTAAAACTACAGGTGTGCGCCACTACGCCCCGCTAATTTTTGTATTTTTGGTGGGGGTAGAGACAGGATTTTGCCATGTTGCCCAGGCTGGTCTTGAACTCTTGGGCTTAAGTGATCCACCTGCTTGGGCCTTGCAAAATGCTGGGATTACAGGTGTGAACCACTGCACCTGGCCCAAATCTGACTTTATGATTGAAGACAGATCTTCCTAAGAGACTGCTTTTTCCCACAAAAATAATTATTTTAGAAAGAACAAATAAAAATTTAAATAAAAGGAGCCTCTAATTGACCTTCAACTGATAGTCACAATTTTGCAAAGGAGAGAAGTCTATCATCTCTCTCGTTCCTACCTCACATCTTCCCCACTTAGTGCAGCATGGTCTTGGGCCAGTTACTTAACATCGCTGAGCCTCAATTCCCTTATCTGTGAAATGTGGATAAGAATAGTACCTACCACTAGGATGTTTATAAGGATTAAGAGTTAATGTGTACAGGCTGGGCGCGGTGGCTCACGCCTGTAATCCCTGCACTTTGGGAGGCCAAGGTGGGCGGATCATGAGGTCAGGAGATCCAGACCATACTGGATAGCATGGTGAAACCCTGTCTCTACTAAAAATACAAAAAACAAAACAAAACAAAAAAATAGCCGGGCGTGGTGGAAGGCACCTGTAGTCCCAGCTACTCGGGAGACTGAGGCAGGAGAATGGCATCAACCTGGGAGGCGGAGCTTGCAGTGAGCTGAGATTGCGCCACGGCACTCCAGCCTGGGTGACAGAGCGAGACTCCGTCTCAAAAAAAAAAAAAAAGTAAATAAAGAGTTAATGTGTACAAAGTGCAATGAACCACACCTGGCACGTAATAAAAGTTCCAAAAAATATTAGCTATTGTTATTGTAAAATTACTTCTATATAGATACATTTTCCTATCCTTTCTACTTTTCTTTCTCCTTCCCACATCAGCTTGTGAGAGAACAAGTCACTTCTAAGGATGCTAGGAGATTAGGAAGTGTGACCTGAAGCTGTAGTCACAGTCTAATCGTTTTGATAAACCCAAATGTTTAAATCCCAAAGTAAAAAATGTTCATGAAGACTGCCATATTACACAACTCCAGGGGGCACCATCCACTTGGTAGTCAGAGTGACTGCTGTTCCTAAAATTGTGCAGTGGACAATCCATGTAGCTATACATGGTAGCTCTGCATCCCACCATTCAATTATGTTGTTTATTTTCCTCACAATTCATTGTTTTCTGTTTCATGTAAAGTTATGTGTGCATAATGACGTTTCGGTCAATGATGGACTGTGGACTGTGTTTAGGGTGGTGGTCCCATAAGCTTATAATACAGCATTTTTACTGTGCCTTTTCTATGGTTAGCTATGTTTAGAAACACAAATACTTACACTGTGTTATAATTGCCTACACTATGCAGTAGAGTAACATGCTGTCCAGGTTTGCAGCCTCAGAGCAATAGACTATAACATGTAGCCTAGGTGTGTAGTGGGTTATATCATCTAGATTTGTGTAAGTACATTCATGATGTTCACACAATGACGAAATCACCTAATCAGGGATTTTTCAGAATGCATCCCCATTGTTAATGCATGACTGTATGTGTAGTTATATACACTCACTATATGACACACACACATAAAGCTTATCCATTGTTTTCCTTATACAAGTCTTTTTTTTTTCTTTCTAAAGGTGTTGACATTCAACTGGGAGTTATATGTGTTTGTGTGCATCAAGGTTTATATTCACACCTACATGAAGTATTAATAGTGATAGAAAAATGTAAGAAGTAAAGAATAAATTACATTTAACTGAGTTGAAAATGCTCATAATTTATAAACGTGATTGCTTTTTCTTACCTCTATGAGATGACTACAAATGGCTCAAAGCAAAGTATGTGAATAGAACCAAAATATTTAATTAATTGATCATTGAAGTGATAGGGGCTGATAGTAGATTTCCTGTCACTAAATAAAAGATATAGTCAAGCTGTGATAAGTGTTATTGGCTAAATATCTCTACGATGTGTATGTCCGGTTTCTGTCATGTGTCTGTAGACACTGCTGGTGATTTGAATCAATATAACTTTTTTTATTATTGTGAATAAAATGCTTCATTTAGTTAGTTGTTTCTTTGACATGAGGAAAAATTGTTCTCTGATGAACTACTTCAAGAAATATCCTTTGAATTTTGAATACTGTGACAGTTTTATTTCAACTTATGACCAGGAATGGAACTACATACAGGTGGTACTGAATTTCTACAAGATCCTCACTGCCATTTAAGCAACACAGATGTTTTCTTTATTCTTAATGAGTTAATCCCACTGCCATTCAAGCACAAGGAAGAAGCAGAAAATGCCCAAAGGCCTGTGTAGTTAAAGGGAGTAGAATAAGCAAAAAGCCTAGCTAATCTACAAATTTGATAATTCAAACTTGAATAATTGAAAGTTTGATATATTTGCATTAGGAATGTGTGAATCAAGAGCACTGAAGTTCAACACATGCTGTGCTAAAATTAAAACAGTACTCAGATGGACTGAACCATGATTTATGATGTGCTTTTTTCAGTCTTTGGCATAGAATTTCCCTACTTACAAAAGAATCACAATGGAAAATACATAAAACTGTAGCTTTCCCTCTTGAGATGAATATTCTGCATATACTGATCTCTTGCTTCTTAAGTTACCATTCAATTCACTTCAACAGTCATATAGTGAGCACCTTATTATGCTATTTCTGAGGATTCAAGGACGAATAAAACATACACTGTTCTTAAGTCTTGTTCTCTCAATCTAAAGGATTGAAATAAAGTCAAGGCATCAAGGTACTGGGTTGGGGAGGCATGAAATAAAGTGTGAAACGATGTAGGGCAGACATTTGGGTCTTGTTCTTTATAGCACTTTTTTTAGTAATCACTGTTAAATTGTTCTCCTACCCAGATTGCTTCCCCTATCTTTGTCAGCTCTTAGTATTGTCAACCTATCTTGTCTTGGGTTTAATAAAATATTCATCTAATAAATATGTGTGTTAAACTCTTAACATACAAGTAACTTTTTGGGTGTTGTCAGTGACACAAAATGATTATCTTATAGCTGCTCACAATTTTCAATATTGGTTGAAAAGACAGTCACAGGAACTAACCCCCAAACAAGTCAAATGATGATTAACTTTATCATAGGATTATAAATAGCACTCAATAGGGACAATGTGAAGTCAGAGTTTAGTGTGGAGAATCAGGTTCTTGACCAAGATTACACCACTGGTAAGCAGCAGAGCTGGGGTTTGAGACCAGGGCTACTGATCGCCAACATCAGCATTCTTTTTACTTTAAAATTGCAACACAAAATAACATCATAAACATCATTGCTTATCACAGACATAGGCAACGTTAAAATTGTTTTCAGCATTTTGTGTGGAACGTTTACTTATTATTATACTTTTGATCTATTGAGGGTCTTCTAGGGCCTTTTTCACACTCTGGTCTTCCCTTCACCTAGAGAAAAACTCCTTTCTTTAGGATGCAGTGTAAAGAAACATGGACACTGAAGTATATCGCTGGTTATGTAGAGCCGGGGTCCTCAATCCCCGGGCCATGGACAAACTTTTCCCCCATCTGTGCAAAAATTAACTTCCATGAAACTGGCCCCTGGTCCCAAAAAGGGTGGGGAATGCTAACATAGCGTCTTCAGTTTTCTCATCTATAAAAACCTTGCAGGGTTGTGGTAGAGATTAAATGAAATAATTAATGCAAAGTCTCTAGCATAGCATGTCACTGACGGACCACTCTGGAAAGGTGAGTCATCTTCCCTTGAATTAAGAGAAAATATGCCTTTAAGTCAATCTGAGACAATACATTACAGCTGACAAGGATTGGAGGCCTATCTTGTTTACCTCCGTTGTTGCCCAGAGTGGAGCATGGAAATCCAGTGCACTGATACTCTTCTCTCAAGGTCATATTGACAAATGTAAGCAGAAGAAGTTTGATCATGTTTCTGTTTCTGTTTCTCGAGAAGTGACAACCTACTCCTAAAACATATTAAATAACTGATCTGGATTTGGAGGACTGTTATCAACATTTAATAGTTTCAATAATAAGATTGTGGGAAAATAATTTGACCTTCTGTAATTGTTAATGATGTTGAACAACTTTTTATTGGTTTATTGGAAATTTGTATTTTTTCCAGCAATTTGTCTGTTAATGTTCTTTGTCTCTTATTTAGTAATTTTCAGGAACTCTTGATAGATTATGGAATGTAATTTTTTTTTTTTTTTTTTGATAGAGTCTCACTCTGTCACCCAGGCTGGAGTGCAGTGGCACGATCTCGGCTCACTGCAACCTCAGGCCTCCCAGGTTCAAGTGGTTCTCCTTTCTCCTGCCTCAGCCACCCAAGTAGCTGGGACTACGGGCATGCACCACCATGCCTGGCTAATTTTTTGTATTTCTTAGTAGAGATGGGATTTCACCATGTTGGCCAGGCTGATCTGGAACTCCTGACCTCATGTGATCCACTCACCTCTGCTTCCCAAAGTGCTAGGATTACAGGGGTGAGCCATGGCGTCTGGCCTGTTGGTATATCTTTTAAATATATAGCTTATCTTCAAAAGATACACTGCATATCTTTTAGTTAGTTTATGTTATCTTTTCCATACATGAATTCTAAAGTTTTATGTAGCCCAATCTGCCAAATCTGACATGCCCTGTGAAACTCTCTACAATTCAAGGCTATATATATGTCTTCCATGTCCTAGTACCATGTGTTCAAAACAGTATACTTTCTCCTCTGAATTGCCTTTTCACCTTTGTCAAAAATCTGTTGTCTATATATGTTTGCATGGTTTTATTTCTGGACTCTATCGTGTGCCAACAATTTCGTTGTCAATCTTTATGATCAATAATTGCACATTGTATTGGTTACTGTAGCTTTACGATATGTGTTGAAATCAGGTAACATTAGCTCTCCAAATTTTTTGTTCTTTTTCAAAATTGTTTTGGCGATTGTAGATGCTTTGCATTTCCATATGAATTTTATAATCAGCCTGTCAAATTCTGCCAAAAGGCCTGCTTGAGATGGAAATGAATGTACAGCTCAAATTGGGAAGAACTGATATCTTAACCATATTGAGCCTCCTGAAGCATGAAAAAGGTATATTTCTTCATTTATTCAGATTTTCTTTAATCAGTGTCAGTAATGTTTTGTAATTTCCAGTATGCAGGATTCTTACATCTTTGGTCAGATTTATCCCTAAATATTTTCTAGTTTTTGATGTTATTATAAATGATATTGTTTTAATTTTTTTAAATTTTCAGTTGTTCATTAATGGTAAATAGAAATACAATTGATTTTTTAATATATTAATTTTGTATCCTGCAGCTTGCTAAACTCATTATTAGTTCTAGTACCTGTTTTGTAGATTCTTTAGAATTTCCTGCATAGATGGTCATGTTGTCTTCAAATAATGACAGTTCTACTTCTTTCTTTTCAATCTGCGTGACTTTAATTTATTTTTCTTGCTTACAACCTCCAGTTAAATGTTTAGTAGAGGCGGTGAGAGCAGACATAATTGTCTTTTCCCAATTTTAGAGGAAAGCTTTCTGTTTTTACAAGTATGATGCTAGCTGGGGTTTTTTTTTTTTTTCTTTTTAAATAGATGCTGTTTATTAGATTGAAGATTTCCTTTTATACGTAGTTTGCTGAGAGTTTTTTTAATCAGAAACTGACGTTGGATTTTTTTTGAAGGCTTTATCCGTGTCTATTGAGACGATTATATGCTTTTCTTTTTTTTTTTTTTTTTTTTTTTTTGAGACGGAGTCTTGCTCTGTCGCCCAGGCTGGAGTGCAGTGGCGGGATCTCGGCTCACTGCAAGCTCTGCCTCCCGGGTTTACGCCATTCTCTTGCCTCAGCCTCCCGAGTAGCTGGGACTACAGGCGCCCGCCACCACGCCTGGCTAGTTTTTTGTAATTTTTTAGTAGAGACGGGGTTTCACCGTGTTAGGCGGGATGGCCTCCTGACCTCGTGATCCACTCGCCTCGGCCTCCCAAAGTGCTGGGATTACAAGCTTGAGACACCGCGCCCGGCCGCTTTTCTTTTTAAGTTTGTGTTTATATGGTGTCTTATATCATTTTTTTGAAAGTAAAACAACTTTGAATTCCTGGGATAAAGCTAACTCAGTCATGATGTTTTATCCCTTTTAAATATTGATTGATTTGCTAAATTTCGTTTAGTATTTTGCATCTATGTTCCTAAGAGATACTGGTTTGTAAATTTCTTTTCTCGTTATGTGTCTGGTTGTAATATCAGAGTAGTGGAGAACTCACAGAATTAGTTGGAAAGTATTTCCTCTTCAATTTTTTGGAAATTTATGAAGAATTAGAATTATTCATTAACTGTTCATTCATGAATGTAACATTCATTAAATGTTCGGTGGAATTCATGAATAAAGCCATCTGGATCAGAGTTTGCTTTGTGGGAAAGTTTTTTAACTGAAAATTTTATTTATTTAATAGATATACATATTTTTGTTTTGTTGTTTTATTTTCAAGACACGATCTCAGGTCACTGCAACCTCTGCCTCTTGGGTTCAAGTGATGCTACTGCCTCAACCTCCCAAGTATCTGAGACTACAGGCACTCACCATCATGCCCTGCTAATTTTTGTTTATTTTTAGTAGAGTCAGGGTTTCATTATGTTGGCCAGTCTGGTCACGAACTCCTGGCCTCAAGTGGTCCACCCACCTCGGCCTCCCAAAGTACTGGGATTACAGGTGTTAACCACCTGATGCCCAGCCTATCTCTTTATATTATCTTTTTCTTCTTGAATGGGCTTTGGTAGTTTGTGTCTTTCATGTGTCTGTCCTTCATCAAAATTGTTAAATATGTTAGTTTGTGGTTGTTCATAATATTCCCTTATTATCCTTTTAGTATCTGTAGATATCTATACTGATGTCATCTCTCTGACTCCTGATATTGGTAATTTGTGTCCTCACTCTTTTTTCCTGATCAATTTAGAAATTTATCAATTTTATTAATCTTTGCGGGGTACCAGCTTTTAGTTTCCTTTTTCTTCCCCCAACCTTTTTTTTTTTGAGACAGAGTCTCACTCTGTCACCCAGGCTGAAGTGCAGTGGTGTAATCACAGATCACTGCAGCCTCGGCCTCTGGGGCTCAAGTGATCCTCCCACCTCAGCCTCCCAAGTAGCTGGGAACACAGGTGTGCATCATTCCATCCAGCTAATTTTAAAATTTTTAGTAGAGACAGGGTCTAGCTATGTTGCCCAGACTGGTCTCGAACTCCTGGCCTCAAGGGATCCTCCTGCCTTGGCTGCCCAAAATGCTGGGATTCCAGGCACCAGCCACCTTTCCTTTAGCTTCATTGATTGTGTCTCTGGTTTTTCTGTTTTTGATTTTGTTTTATTTCTTTGATTTCTTCTCTGATATTAATTCCTTCCTTTTGCTTATTTTGGGTTTAATTTGCTTTCTGTATGACTTAAATCCTATTATGTTTATTGTGACTTGTTTTGTGGCACAAAATATTGTTTATCTTGATAAAATATCCCATTTGCACTTGAAAATAATGTGTATTCTGCTGTTGTTTAGTGGACCTGTTTATACATGTCAATTAGGTCATCTTGGTTGATAATGTTTGAAAAATCTGTATCATTACTGATTTTCTGCTGACTTGATCTATGAATTATTGAGAGGGGGTATTGAAATGTTTTATTAGAATTGTTGATTTTCTATTTCTCTTCTAGTTCTATTAATGTTTGTCTCATGTATTTTGAAGCTCTTGTATTAATTAGGTGAATAATGTTTTTAGAATGTCATATCCTTTCGGCTAATTGACCCCTTTATTAGAATGAAATGACCTTTCAAACTCTCTAGTAACAATCTTTGCTCTGAAATCTAGTTTGTTGGTCATTAATATAGCAATTTATTCTTTCTTTTGTTAATGTTAGCTTTCTTTTTCATTTTTAAAATTAACCTATTAGTGGTTTTCATATTTAAAGCATATTTTTTATAGATAGCATAATATTTTCTTGCTTTTTAATCCAATCTGATAACTTCTGTCTTTTAATTTGGTGTGTTTGGACCATTTACATTTTTTTCTTCATATTTATATATCTTTAATTGACAAAGAAAAATTGTATATATCTATGGTGAAAAACATGATGTTTTGAAACATGTATACATTGTGGAGTGGCTAAATCAAGCTTATTAACATATGCATGATTTCACAGTTATCTTTTTAAAATTTTTATTTTTTAAAAATTTTTGTGGATGCGTGGGTAGGTGTATATATTGATGTGCTACATGAGATGTTTTGATGTAGGCATGCAGTGTGTAATAATCGCATCATGGAAAATGGGGTGTCCATCCCTCAAGCATTTATCCTTTGTGTTTCAAACAATCCAGTAATACTCTTTTAGTTATTTTTAAATGTACAATTAAATTGTTTTGATTATAGTCCCTATGTTGTTCTATCAAATATTAGGTCTTATTCATTCTTTCTAACTATTTTTTTGTACCCATTAACCATACCCACCTCCCCAACACACCTCACTACCCTTCCCACCCTCTGGTAACCATTCTTGTATTCTCTAACTCCATGAGTCGAATTATTTTTATTTTTAGGTCCCACACGTAAGTGAGAATATGTGATGTTTGTCTTTTTGTGCCTGGCTTATTTCACTTAACATAATGCCCTCCAGTCCCATCCATGCAGTTGCAAATGACCAGGATCTCATCCTTTTTTATGGCCAAATGGTACTCCATTATGTATAGGTACTACATTTTCTTTATCCATTCATCTATTGATGGACACTTAGGTTACTTCCCAATCTTGGCTACTGTGAACAGAGCTGCAACAAACCTGGGAGTGAAGAAATATACTGACTTCCTTTCTTTGGGGTGTATACCCAGCAGTGGAATTGCTAGATTATTTGGTAGCTCGCTTTTTAGTTTTTTGAGGAACTGTTAAACTGTTCTCCATAGTGGTTGTATTAATTTACATTCTCACCAACAGTGTATGAAGGATCCCTTTTCTCCACATCCTATCCAGCATTTGTTATTGCCTGACTTTTAAATAAAAGCCATTTCAACTAGGGTGAGATGATATCTCATTGTATTTTTTTAAAACCTTTCCTATGGTGCTGATCATTGTAGTTTTTATTTGCATTTCTCTGATGATCAATGATGTTGAGCACCTTTACATATGCTTGTTTACCATTTGTATGTCTTTTGAGAAATGTCCATTCAAATCTTTTGCCCATTTTTAATAGGATCATTAGATTTTAGTTATCTTTTTTGGGTGATAAGAACTTAAAACCTACTCTCTTAGAAACCCTCAAGTATACAATATGTTGTTATTAAATATAGTCACCATGTTCTACAACAGATCTCTTGAACCTGTTCTTCTAATTGAAATTTTGTATCCTTTCATCAACATTTTCCCAATATCAACCTTCAACCCTGAATCCCTAGTAACTACCATTTTAATCTCTGCTTCTATGAGTTCAGACTTTTTAGATTCTACATATAAGTGAGATCATACAGTACTTGTCTTTCTGTGCCTTGTTTATTTCACTTAACATAATGATAACGTCCTGTAGGTTTATCCATGTTGTTGTAGATGACAAGATTTGCTTCTTTTTTTTTTTTTAGGCTGAATTTCTTTAACCATTTATCTGTTGAGGGACACTTAGATTGATTTCTTTTTTTTTTTTTTTCAGTTGAGACGGAGTCTTTCTGTGTTGCCTGGGCTGGAGTGCAGAGGCACGATCTCGGCTCACTGCAACCTCCGACTCCAGGTTCAAGCAATTCTCCCACCTCAGCCTCCTGACTAGCTGGGATTACAGGTGCATGCCACCATGCCCGGCTAATTTTTGTATCTTTAGTAGAGACAAGGTTTTGCCATGTTGGCAGGGCTGTCTTGAACTCCTGACCTCAAATGATCTGCCTGCCTCTGCCTCTCAAAATGCTGGGATTACAGGTGTGAGCCACCACACCCGGCTCCCTAGCTTGATTTCATATCTTGGCTATTGTGAATAATGCTGCAATGAACATGGGAGTGCCAATAGCTCTTTGATATATTGATTGCATTTCCTTTGGACATATACACAGCAGTGGGATTGGATCATACTATAGTTATATTTATAATTTTTTGAGGAACCAATATACTGTTTTCCATAATAACTATACTGATTTATGTTCCCACAAACAGGCACAAGTGTTTCCTTTTCTTTTTCTCCATATCCTTACCAAGACTTGCTATGTTTTCTCTTTTTTGATAATAGTTATTCTAACAAGTGTGAGATAATAGAAATGTCTCATTATAGTGTTTTGTTTGTTTGGTTTTGTTTGTTGTTTGTTTTTGAGACTGAGTCCGGCTTTGTTGCTCAGGCTGGAGCGATCTTGGCTCACTGCAACCTCTGCCTCCTGGGTTCAAGTGATTCTCATGCCTCAGCCTCCAGAGTAGCTGGCATTACAGGTGCGTGCCACCATGCCTGGCTAATTTTTTGTATTTTTAGTAGAGACGGGGTTTCACTGTGTTAGCCAGGATGGTCTTAATCTCCTGACCTTGTGATCTGCCTGCCTTGATCTCCCAAAATGCTGGAATTACAGGTGTGAGCCACTTCGCCCAGTCCTGTTGTTCATTCTTTTATCTTTGTGTTTCATCTCATTTAATCACCATAATAACCCAACAAGACAAGAACTATTATTATCCCCATTTTTATTTTTATTTTTTTTCTTTCTTTCTTTTTTTTTTTTTTTTTTTTTGGTGGTGGGGAATGAAGTTTCATTCTTGCCACCTAGGCTGGAGTGCAACGGCGCGATCTGGGCTCACTGCAACCTCCGCCTCCTCGGTTCAAGTGATTGTCCTGCCTCAGTCTCCCAAGTAGCTGGGATTACAGGCATGCACCACCACGCCCGGCTAATTTTTGTGTTTTTAGTGTTTTAGAGACGGAGTTTCATCATGTTGGCCAGGCTGGTCTTGACTTCCTGACCTCAGGTGATCAGCCCACCTCAGCCTCCCAAAGTGTTGGGATTACAGGTGTGAACCACCATGCCCAGCCTCATTGTAGTTTTAATTCACATTCCCTGATGATGAGTGGGTTGACTATTTTTCCATATACCTGTTGGCCATTTGTATGCCTTCTTTTGAGAAATGTCTATCCAGGTTCTTTGCTCATTTTAAAATCAGGTTGTCTTCTCACTATTGACTTGTTTGAGTTCCTTATATATTTTTGGTATTGACCCTGTATCAGAAGTGTTGTTTGCACATATTTTCTCCCACTCTGTAGGTCATATTTTACTCTGTTGATTGTTTCTTTTGCTGTGCAGCAGCTTTTTAGTTTGATGTAATTCTATTAGGGTTTCCAGTATGACTAGGGGAATAGTGTATTATGTATTCTTTTGTGTCTGGTCTGCTCTTCTCTCCACTCAACATTGTATCTGTAAGATTTATTTGCGTTGTTTTATGTATCAGTAGTTTGTTACTTATTGATTGATATCTAACATTCCAATAAGTAAACAAACTACATTTATTTACCAATTTTATTATTGATGGACATTTAGATTGTTTGGGGTTACTATGAATAAAATTGCCATGGACATTTACGTAGGAGTGGTTTGATAGGTATATGACAGCACTATGCACTAGATGCTGTGAGAGCGCAGATGGATGTTTCTGGGGAAAGTGAAGCTTGAGCTGAGTTTTTAGGGGTGTAAGAGATGACTGACGGGAAAGCAAAGGAGACGTTTCTAGACAGGAGGAAGAGTCATAAGCAAAAAGGAAGAGAATCAGTAATAAATTATAAGAAAGGAGGCAGAAAAGAGACCAAAGTGGTACATGGACATTGTTATGATAAATTGAAGAGTTCAAACTTCACCCCAGGGAATTTCAAATATGGTAAGATTTTCTTTCAATAAAAGTATCTCTGATCACAGCATGGAAAATCGATTCGAGAGGGGTGGAACTGGAGACTGGGAGACCTGTTAGGAAGTTTTGGTGAGGGGCTTTCCAAACCAGATAACAAAACATTATGTTATAAAGTTGCAACAGTTAAGTCACCATGGTAGTCTACCAAAAAAAAGATAGATTTGAATGTAAAATTTGTGTATGGTAAAAATAACACAATGCTACTGAACAAATAATAAACTAGGGAGAAAATATTTCAAAATATATAGTAGACAAATTGTAACTATATTAATAATTCCCTAAGATAAATAAGAAAAGAGCAAAAAATCTAATAGGAAAATAGGTAAGGAATACAAAGGGGCAATCTACAGATGAAATACAAATGGACAATCATGAGAAAATGTTAAACTACTGCCTAAGTGATTATGTCTAAAATTAAAATAATGAGAAAAAATTTACATCTCAGAGTAGCAAAAGGTAAAAATATTTATGATATCAAATGCTGGCTTGAGAATAGGGAAACACATGTTTAAAATATAAATTGGATGGCCGAGTGTGATGGCTCACACCTGTAATCCCAGCACTTTGGGAGGCCGAGGCAGGCGGATCACCTGAGGTCAGGAGTCCAAGATCAGCCTGGTCAACGTGGTGAAACCCCATCTCTACTAAAAATACAAAAATTAGCCAGGCATGGTGGTGGGTGCCTGTAATCCCAGCTACTTGGGAGGCTGAGACAGAAGAATTGCTTGAACCCGGGAGGCGGAGGTTGCAGTGAACCAAGATTGCACCTTTGCACTCCAGCCTGGGCAACAAGAGTGAAACTCTGTCTCAAAAAAAAAAAAAAAAAAAAAAAAGTAAATTGGTGCAATCATTTGGAAAGCAACTGGCACGTATCTTTTGACCTTGAACATGTTACGGGAAATATTTCAAATATTTGCACAGAAATTTTCCCAGAATTATTTTCACTATAAAACAAAGATATACTTCCAATGATACTCATTTGAAAGTTGCTTATAATAGTAAAAGCATGGGATAATCTAAGTAAGGTTTTGAGAAGCTGTGTTACATCTATACGGTGGAACACTCTTCCTATTTTTTTTAAAATTAAGCATATATATATATATTTCAAGAATAGAAAGGTATCGACAGTATGCTATTGGGTGAAAAAGGTCAAGTTCTAGAAAATAATGGAAGGTATGATGTTATTTTTACAAACATTTGTTAAATGTAGTATATGTCAGAAACTTGGCCATTAACTAGTGATCCAGAAAAGAACAAGATAGAAAAAGTTCTGGCAATTGTGGAGTTAAAAAGTTGTCAACAGGTTAAAAATCATTAACCCCTGGGGAATGCAAATGACAGAAGTGAGAGGGGGAAGGATGTTTACTTTTTCCTTTATTCACATATTTGGATTATTACATTTTTGTCAATAAGCAACTTTTGCTTTTGTAATTTAAAAACTAAGCCTTAAAAGAAGTCAGTTATACTATTTTTATCAAATATTTAAAGCAGTGGTAAAACCAATTAACATTCTTGAAAGTGTGAAGAAATGGATGCTCTTATACTCTGTTTTAGAGAGCTTTCATTTGCATATACATTTTGGATTGCAACTTGGTAATATATATTTTTTAAAACCTTAAAAATTTGCTTTGATACAAAAATTTTCTAGGAATTTATCTTGGGGAAAAATTTAAAAGTATGAAAAAATCTACAAATATGTTCATTGCAGCTTTCTTTATAACAGTGTAAAATTGGCAACAACTTAAATATCCTTCAACATGGGATTGCTTAATTAAATCATGGTACAAACGTAAAATTTAAAATGACTGTTGGCAGCATGTCGGTTGCCACCCTAACCGTCATTTTCCTTTTCTCCCTTACTAACAGAATTGCCATTTTTTGAAGATATTGAGTGGCAAGATGATCAAGGAAGACGGGTGCAGTTCAGGTAGTGAATTGTGATTGATGATGGTCACCTTACACCCACGTATTTGGTTTAGGAGTTGACAGATGGTCTATTTCCGGTCAGTGAGACATCAAAGTAGTTATTTATGGAGTTTTTTGGAAGTACGCATTATATTTAAGAGGTGTATGAAGAGAAAACTGTTTATTTTCACCTTCTTTGGATATTTTGTGTGAAGATGTAAGAATGTGATGCTTGGAGCTAAGTAGCTATCTGAGGCTCTTGAGAGAAAGCCATGAGTAACAGAGAAACCACCCAAAGCCTTCACTGTTGAATGGTCATGACCAGTTTTGAAACTGTCTAATTCCAGACTTTTTAATTATTAATTTATTTTGGTTGAGCATCAACATTACTTACAAATAAAATTGACCTGATTGATAAAGCTCTATACGCAGTGAAAAGATGTACAACTCTGGAATTAGCTTATGTTGAAATCATGGGTAGCTCTTACTAGTGCTACTCACCATTACACCATGAACTATTTACTTAAATTATCAAAGCCTTAGTTTTCCCATCTGTAAAATGGAAATAATATAGTTTCTATCTTATAAGGAAGTTTTTAATGTCAGTGACAAATCTTTATGTATATATAGAGAGAGTTTAGCAGAGTGACTTTAGTGAAGCTCAGTATTAACTATTGTTAATAAAGTAACAATATTAATCTATACTGATATGGAGGGTATACATGTAATATTAAGTGATGAAAGCATCATTATGTACAGCAGTTACCATTTTATAAAAATAAATATATATCCCTAGAAAAATTCTAGAAATGCATACCAATTAAGGTATTATTAATAATAATGCTTATCTTTGGGTATTAGGATTACTGATACTTTTAATTCTGTTCTTTTTATTTTTCTAAATGTTCTGGAATTTTAAAAGTAAGCATATATTATACACATACATGTATATATACACACACATACACATATATGTTTTAAAGCAGTTAAATTTGGTGGGTGGTATGAAGAGGCAGAAAGAATGGAAAAACCTGCAGAGAATATTCAGAAGGAGTGAGGAATAGGGAGTTGAGAACAGCTGCAGAAGCAAAGGGAGGAACTGATTTTAGGAAAGGGGTAATCAACATTATGGAGTGCTTCTGGAGAGTGACAAGTCAGATAAAGATTGAAAAGCATTCACTGAGTTTCATCTTACAGAGACCAGTGGTTACCTTAGAGAGAACTGTGTCAACTAAGAAACCAGAGTGCAGTGAAAATGAGAAGTAAATGCTCAACTAAGAAAGGAGTTGAAAAACGACTAAATGGCAAAAGTAAATGTATATTAATCTTTCAATAAGCTGGACTGTGAAGAAGAAAGAGAGGGAGTGTTTCAGGAAAAATCCAGCAAAGAAGAGATTTAAGCTACAGAATGGGAGAGAGAGTAGTTAGGGCAGGGGTCCCAAAGAGGCAGAAGAAAATGGTATCCAGTTGTATTTGTGTGGGAAAAAAATCAGTGAGAATTTTCATCACTTCATTTAGTGGTGTTTTTCGCTCCTTTAATGCTGTATTTTGAGGGACAGAATTTCATAATTTTAATGTAAAATATTTTTCATTATTGTCAGTGATTTTATGTCTTATTGTAAAAATAATTTCTTATCCCAAGGTCATAAAGATGCTCGCCTATATTCTCTTCTAAAAATGTTTAAAATTTGCATTTAAGTCCATAGTTCATCTTCAATTGATTTTTGTTTATGGCATGAGGTAGACATCTTATTTCATCGAAAAACGATAGCCAATTATCTCAGGTTTGTTACTTTTATCCATTGGTATTTGGTGGTACCTCTGCCATGCACAATAGTGATTTGTAAGAGCTAAGTGTTAGCATCTCTGCCCAACTCTGCATTCCCTGAAGTCATACTGATACCTTGAAAGCAGGCAAGTTTTAGTATTTACACATGGAAATCAGCAGGCAACTACAAACAAGGCTGTTTTGGCTGGGAAGCTGGCTAGTTCGTGACGAATGGCTTTTGCAAAAAGAATCTAGATTCTAGAATCTAGATGCTAGATTTGAATTGCTAATATTTTGGTAGATTTAGCATAGATTGTTGCATCTATGTTCATGAGTGAGATTAATCTGAAATTTTTTTTCTTGTAATACTTTCGCTTGGCTTTGGAATGGAAATTGTGCTATCATTGTAAATTAACTGGGAATTGCTTTCTTTCTTTCTATTCTCTGGAAAGGTTTGATTAAAACTGAAATTAACTCTTTCCAGTAGAACTTATCGGTAAAATCATTTTGGGCCTGCTATGGTGTGTGTGTGTGTGTGCGTGCGCGCGCACGTGTATGTGCATGCATGCACATGCCTGTGAAAAGATTTAGGGTACTGATACAATTTCTTTTTCTTTTTTTTTTTTGAGACAGAGTCTCATTCTGTCGCCCAGGCTGGGGTGCAAAGTCGCCATCTCGGCTCACTGCAACCTCCACCTTTTGGGTTCAAGTGATTCTCGTGCCTCAGCCTCCCAAGTAGCTGGAACTATAGACCCCCGCCACCATGCCTGGCTAATTTGTGTATTTTTAGTAGAGATGAGGTTTCGCCTTGTTGGCCAGGCTGGTCTTGAACTACTGACCTCAAGTGATCCACCTGCCTCGGCGGTGCCAGGATTACAGGCCTGAGCCACAGTGCCTGGGCAACAATTTCAATATTGGTTGTAAGACCATTCATGTTTTCCTATTTTTATTTCATTTTTTTTTTCTGTTGTTTTTCTGGAGTCCATTTTCTAAGAAGTTGTCCTTCTTACTCAAGTTATCGAATCTATTGGCATAAAGATTTTCTTAACATTCCTGTGTTAGCTTTTTAATTATGCTTGATCTGTAGTTTTTAAAAATTTTTCAATATTTTAATATGTGTCTCCCTTTTTATTGATCAGCCTTGCCAGAGGTTTGCCAATTTTGTTGGCATTTCAAAAACAACCTTTTTCTTTGTTGATGCTCTTTGGTGTGTATTTGTTTTCTGTTTCTTTAATTTATGTTTTGATTATTTTCTCACTTTTAATATCTTCTTCTGTTGCCCTTTGTCTAATGTTAAAAGTCTGGCCGGATGCAGTGGTTCACTGCACAGTGGCTCATTGTCAGACCTAACTTTTAACATTAGAAAAAGAGCATTTTTGGAAGCCAAGTTGAGAGGATAGTTTGAGGCCAGGAGTTTGAGATCGGCCTGGCCAACATAGTGAGACCCCTGTCTGTACAAAATAAATAAAATTAAGTCTTATTAATTTTTTACCTTTTCTTTTTTCTGAAATTTGGCTATATATTTTCTCCTAGCACTGCAAGTTTTGATCTGTACTATTTTTGTTATAATTTAGGTCAATTTTTTAAACTTCCATCATATTTTTCTTTATTCCATGAATAATTACTAAATATATAACTTTTTGAATATTTTAAAAATTTATTTATTGTGACTACTATTATACTGTATATAATACTGATGCATCAAAATTTATCAAGACTCATTTTATCTCCTAACACATGGTCCATTTTCATAAACACTACATGTGTATTTAAAAGGTTACAGTTTTTGCAGTTGCTGGGTACAATGTTCTATATATTTCTATTAAATGAAACTGTTCATATATTCCTTATCCTTCCAAGTTTTAAAAATCTGTTTTACTGTTAATTATTAAGAGAATTTCTTAAAATCTGTCATCTTGATGGTAGATATGTCAATTTCTCCTTGTGATTTTGTCAATATTTGATTTATACTAAAGGTGAGTTACTATTTGAATAAGTTTTTCTCAACATTTTATTGACTTCTACATGAAACTGACCTCTACATTAAACTTGAAATAACAGTTCAGTGAACATTTATATATCTTTTGCCTAGATTTACGAACCACTAACCTTTGCCACATTGCTTTCTCTATTTCTATATGTGTATGGATGAATATATATGTATATATTTTTTAACACAGAGGTGAAATTGACATAAAATTAACAATTTGGAGTGCACAATTCAGTGGCATTTAGAACATTCACAATGTTGTGCAACCACCACCTCTGTTTCTAAAACATTTTCATCACCTCAGGAAAAGCCTTATATCTACTGAGCAGTCACTTCCTACTCCCCCAACCAGCTCTTGGGAACCACCCATCAATATATCTCTATGGATTTACCTATTTTAGGTTGTCCATGTAATATGGGATCTTTCTATTTGGCTTCTTCATTTAGCATAATCTTTTGAAGTTCAAGCATGTTGTAGCATGTATCAGTACTTCATCTCTTCGTAAGACTGAGTAATATTCCATTATATGTATGTACATTTTGTTTATGTATTCATCTGTTAATGGACATTTGGACCATTTCTATTAATACCTTTTGGCTATCGTGAATAATGCTGCTATAAACATTTGTGTAAAAGCATCTGTTTGACCTTCTGTTTTCAGATCTTTTGGGTATATAGTTAGGAGTGGAATTGCTGGCCATATGGTAATTATATGTTTAACTTTTTGAAAAAATCGTTATCTGTTTCTACAGTGGCTGCATCATTTTACATTCCCACCAGCAATTTGTGAGAGTTCTGATTTCTCCACATCTTACCAATACTTGTTATTTTCCAGTGATGACAATGATGATTATTACTATTATGGCTCACCTAGTAGGTATGGAGTGGTATCTCATTGTGGGTTTGATTTGCGTTTCTCTAGTGACTAATGATGTGGAACAGTTTTTCATGTGCTTGTTGACAATTTGTATAATCTTTTTTGGAGAAATAGCTATCAAGAACTTTGCTCATTTTTAAATTGGGTTGTCTTTTTGTTATTGAATTGTTAAAATTCTTTAAATATATTATGGACAGTAAACTCTCTCTTTTTTTTTTTTTTTTTTTTTTTTTTGAGACAGAGTCTCGCTCTGTTACCCAGGCTGGAGTACAGTGGCACGATCTTGGCTCACTGCAACCTCCACCTCCTGGGTTCAAGCAATTCTTCTGCCTCAGCCTCCCGAGTAGCTGGGATTACAGGCATGTGCCACGACGCCCAGCTAATTTTTAGTAGAGACGGGGTTTCACCGTCTCTACTAAATATTGGCCAGGCTGGTCTCAAACTCCTGACCTTGTGATTTGCTGGCCTCGGCCTCACAAAGTGCTGGAATTACAGGCGTGAGCCACCGCACCTGGCCTCTGGACACTAGACTCTTATCACATATATGATTTGCAAGTATTTTCTCCCTTGTATCGGTTGTCTTTTCATTTAATAATGGCCTTTGATGTATGAATGTTTTTCATTCTGATAAAATCAAGTTTATCTATTTGGTTGTCTGTTGCTCACGCTTTTGATAGCATATCTAAGAATCCACTGTTCAAGGACATGAAAATTTACCCCTATATTTTCCGCTAAGAGTTTTATAGTTTTCGTTCTTACATTGAGGTCTTTGATCCATTTTGAGTTAATTTTTCTATGTGCTGTGATGTAGGGGGTCCCTGTTTATTCTTTTGCATGTGATACTCAGTTGTCCCAGAACCATTTGTTAAAGAGACTATTCGTTCCCCATTGAATGGTCTTGGCATTCTTGTTGAAAATCAATTGGCCATAGATGTATGGATTTACTTATGGACTCTCAATTTTACTCCATGGATCTACAGGTTTATCCTTATGCCAGTATCACCTTGTTTTGATTACTTTAGATTTGTATAAGTTTTAAACCAGGAAGTATGTGACTTCCAGCTTTGTTATTCTTTTTGCTTTTTGAGACGGAGTCTCGCTTCATCACCCAGGCTGAAGTGCAGTGGCACGATCTTGGCTCACTGCAACCTCTGCCTCCTGGGTTCAAGTGATTCTCCTGCTTCAGCCTCCCCAGTAGCTGGGATTACAGGCGCCTGCCACCAGGCTGGCTAATTTTTCTATTTTAGTAGAGACGAGTTTTCACCATGTTGGCCAGGCTAGTCTCAAACTCCTGACCTCAAGCGATCTACCCACCTTGGCCTCCCAAAGTGCTGGGATTACAGGCCTGAGCCACCATGCTTGGCCTGTAATTCTTTTTCAAGATTGTTCTGGCCCCTTGTAGCTATATGAATTTGAGAATTGGCTTTTACATTTTTGTGAAAAGGCCATTGGAATTTTGACAGGAATTATGTTATCTCTGTAGATTTGGATAGTATTGCCATCTTTAGTTTTCCAATCCACCAACACAAGGTGTGTTTCTATTTATTTAGCTCCTCTTTAATTTCTTTCAGCAATGTTTCAGTGTAGATGCCTTTCACTTCCTTGTTTAAATTTATCATGAGGTATTTTTGTCTTTTGGATGTTATTATAGTGGAATTGTATTCTCACTTTCTTTTTCAGATTGTTTAGTGCTTCTGTATAGCAACGGAACTGATTTTTGAGTATTGT